TTTTTTTTGGTCTTTTAGAGACAGGGTCTCCCTGTAGCCCCAGCTGGCCTTGAACTCACAGAAATCCACCTGCCTCTGCCTCCCCAGTGCTGGGACTAAAGATGTGCCACCATGCCCGGCTACAGTGTTGAATTTTAAAGCCATTATTTATTTTGAGATAGGGTTTCGTGTAACCCAAGCTGGTCCCCAACTTGATAGGTACCTAAGGAGGACCTTGAATTTTGAATTTCTAATCTTATGATCATCTCGCAGTGCTGGGATTGCAGATATCCATCACCATGGATTGAACCTAGGGCTTCCTGTGTGATAGGCAAGCACTTTACCAACTTAGCTGCATCCCCAACTCCTATTTATTTTTGAGAGATGGTCTTTGTAACTTCCTCAGAATTTGAATTCCTTGTAATCCTCCTACCTCAGCCTCCCAGGGTCTGGGATTACAAGGTGTAAGCCTCCACACCTAACTTATTTTTGCTTTTTATTCTGAGACAAAGTCTGGATCCGAGGGTGACCATAAACTTTTGATCTTCCTGCCTCCAGATCCCAAGTACCTGGGTTTACAAGCCTGTTCCACCATGCCTGCCATGCATGCTGTAAAGTTGCCAAGTTTTTATTTTATTTAATCCCCACACTATTGTTTCATTGAAGGATAGACTTCAGGAGAAGACAGCAAAAAACACTTAGGAAGGTTTTTGTTTTAAGATTTATATTTTTATTTATGTGTGTGTGTGTATGCCTGAGGAGGGCAGAAGAGATCCCCTGAAGCTGGAGTTAGAGGTGGTTGTGAGCCACCCAACCTGGGTGCTGGAAATCAAACTCCAGTCCTCTGGAAAGGCAGCAAGTACTTTTTTTGAGACAGGGTCTCCCTGTAGCCTCAGCTGGCCTAAAACTTGCTGTGTAGACCAGACCGGCCTTGATCTCAGAGAGCTCCCTGCCTTTGCCTCTGGAGTGCTGGGGTTAAAGGCATGCACCACCATGCTTGGCCCCCTTTCCAACTTTTTAACATTTATTTGGGGGCAGGGGTGCATGGATTATTGAGGTCAAAGGATGATTTGAGGGAACTGGTTCTCTCCTTCCACCATGTGGGTTCTGGAGACTAAACTTAGGCTTAGCAGCAAATGCCTTTACACATCAAGCCATCTGTCTGACCCATGAAACTCTTGTATTTTAGATGGGAAAAAGGTTTAGGTTAAATAAGTGTCGTGCACACCTTTAATCCCAGTACATTAATGGCTTCTGAAATCACAAGGAGGCAAGCTCTAATAAAACCAAAATTTAGTCAGTAGAAATGCCATCTTTCCTCTGAAGGAAAAAAAAATGTTTTTGAGATGGTCTCATTATGTAGTCCAGGCAACTGGCAATCCCGTCTGCTCAGCCTCTTGAATGCTGAGGTGTGTGCCACCATCCCTGCCCCACTAAAATACCTGCAGTCTCTATTGCCATATAGAATAACATTCTCAGATTTCAGAGATTACAATATAGACCTATTTGAGTGTTCATTATTCTGCCTCTCCAAAATAGACACAAGTACTAACAGTTTAGTATATGATAAGACATTACAGATCAATGTGGCAAACTTTTATTAAATGGTGCTGGGATGACTGTATAGGTAGCTATCTTGTTCCTGGAGTTATGAGAGTCAGAGCCTGGACCCTGGTAGCCCTAACAAGCTAGATTTGGCCACCCATCCTAAATAGGCCAATTAAAAATGCAGTAGCGAAAAGCAAAGGACCACATTAGGAAGAGGAAGAAAGGCATCCATTGAGTCCCCACATCCATCTTTAAGTTGCTTATGTGAGGTTTACAGCTTAAGTGGAAGGCAAAACTAAGCAGTTCTGGTCAGGGTGTGGTCCTGCCCATCACTGACCCATAATTATTTAAGCTCCAGTCTCTCCTGTGAGGTGGTCTGACAAGTAGTCAAAATTGTCTGACAGCCCTTTCCAGGAGATAATCCCCTAATCCCCTGTAGCTGGCACCAGGGCCCCAGCTTTTTCCTTCTCTCAGCATAAAACCATTGGGGAAATTTCTATTTCAGTGGGTTCATTGTCTCAGTAGTCTAATAGCCAAAAGAAGGGCCACAAGTAACTAGAAAAATCTTCATTCCTGTCAAGACAGTTATGGAAAAATTAAATTAGGTACATAGTTTATACTTTATGGTAGGATAAATTCCCAAATGTATCAAAGACATGAATGTAAAATATTAAAATGTTTGTTTTTTTGGTCTTTTTGAGACAGGGTCTCCCTGTATGAAATGTGGGTGTTGGGATTTGAACCTGGGTCCTCTGCAAGAGTAGCCATTGCTCAATCTCTTCAGCCCCTAAAGCATAAAAGTTTTAAGAGAACACTTTGTCTTAAAAAATTTTTTTATTTTTATTTTATGTGCATGAGTGTATATATTGCCTGCATGTATGGAAGTGCACCCATGTCATGCAGTGCCCGAGGATGTCCGAAGAAGGCATCAGATCCCCTGGAACTGGAGTTACAGATGGTTGTCAGCTGCCAAATGGGTACTGGGAATTGAACCCAGGACCTCTGCAAGAGCAGCCAGTATTCTTAACCACCAAGCCATCTCTCCAGCCCTTTTTTTGGTCTTTTTGAGATAGGGTCTCCCTGCAGCCCCAGTTGGCCTATAACTCACTATGTAGACCAGGCTGGCCTTGATCTCACAGAGATCCACCTGCCTCTGCCTCCCAATTGCTGAGATAAAGGAGTGGCTGAGAACCCAAGATCTTAAAATGGAGAAAATCTAAATGTGACACAGATCCTAAAGTATAAAAGAAAATATTGAGCTGAATGTGGTGGCATATGCTTGTAATCTCAGAGATGTAAGGCAGTAGGAGTTTGAGTTTGAGGCCAACCTCAGCTACACAGAAAGTGGAATGTGAAAAGGCATCAGTACTCTAGGAGTCCTCAAAACACCTACAGCTCTTTTAAAAAGCATTATTGCTGTTATGCGTATGTGTACATGTCTATGAGTGTGAGTTCGTGTATGCCATGGCACACATGTGGAGGCCACAGGACAACTCTCAGGAATCTGGTTCTTCTTTCCAGGGTGGGCTTTGGGGGTTATCTCAGGTCATTAGACTTGCTCACCAAGTGTTTTGACCCACTGGGCCATCTCACTGGCCTCATCTCCAGCTCTTCATGTTTACAGGCACAGGCTATTGTAGGAATTTCTTGATAACCTTGTTAGGTATCATAGGCACCTCCACCTAATCATAACACTCCATAACACCCCACAAGAATCTTACAGCTGTGCCTGGCCTCTGTACCCTTTATGCACTTATTTCCCATCCTCATTCTTTCAGGTGTGCTTGCTCATGTTTCAGATGGTTTCATATGTTTGTAGGACACTCAGAGGTGGTTTTTTTGTTGTTGTTTTTTTGGTCTTTTTGAGAGAGGGTCTCCCTATAGCCCCAGCTGTCCTGGAACTCACTATGTAGACCAGGCTGGCCTTGAACTCACAGAGATCTGCCTGCCTCTGCCTCCCAAGTGCTGGGATTAAAGGCATGGGCTACCACGCCCAGTCTGAGGTTAGCCTATTTTTTTTTTTTTTTTTTTTTTGGTCTTTTTGAGACCCATAGCCCCAGCTGTCCTGGATTCACTATGGAGACCAGGCTGGCCTCGAACTCACAGAGATCCGCCTGCCTTTGCCTCCCGAGTGCTGGGATTAAAGGCATGCACCACCAGGCCCAGCCAAGGTTAGCCTTTTTACAGCAGGTGGGCAGGATCTTGGAAGGCCCACCTCCATTTGTTCCAAGCAAGTGAGAATTGGTTTCAGGATTCAGTAGCTAAGAGATACTAAAAAATGTCAACAAAGTCCAGTACAGCACGATAAGATGCCATTGCGGGACTCCTTCACACTGCTAAGTCTGCCCTGGGGCCAAGGCGGAGTGAGGCTGTGGTCTTGCCTGGCGATCCACTAGGCTCTAGATGGCTTTCCAGGTGAGGCCAGCAGCTGCTGGACTTTCACAGACCATATTTGGCTGCTGAGGGCCCTGACTAAGTGAACAATCTTGACTTCAAAGGGAGACATGTGCACTGCACTCTGGGGGTGCTAATTACCCACCTTCACCCGTCTTCTACCTGAAATTTCTGTACTCATCTATGGATGCCTATTGTCCCTGATGCTTCTAGGGCCTACTAGGAACCAAGGCACATCTGGCTCCAGCACCAACCCATAATACTGTAGATTAGTAAGGGACCAATAAATCTGCAGTCCAACATGAGGACCATGCATGGTAAACCAGATGTCCTGCCTGCAGATAATGTTGGCCTCTCAATAAGGGAAGAGGCTGTTAAGGTTCCTACCCTCTGAGACCTGTCTTCCATAGCAGCCAGCACAGTGGGAATTGCCACTTTCTCCATGTTACCCATTCTTTCAGTGAGCTGTCATTTCAGGCTTCCAGAGTATATGGCACAGGACTTGGCTTTCTCTGTTCCCTTAAGAACTCTGGGTCGACGCAAGTGCTGCCACATTTGTTTTTGACTCAAGCAGCCCCTCCTTTCATCTTTCCTGAGACAAGGTCTCATGTAGTCCAGGCTAACCTCAAAAATGAATTTGTAATCCTACCGCTTCCATCTCCTGCATATTTGGATTACAGGTACAAGGGATGGAACCCAGGCCTTCATGCTTGCTGGACAAGCACTCTTATCAACTGAACCATATCCCCCAGCCCTGTCTTGTCCTCTCTTGATTGCTTTAGTACCTCACCAACCCAATTTACATGCATATCTGTCATTCTGACCCTACAGAACCTCTACTACCTTATAAAAATTATGACCAAGGGCCCCCACAGCGTGTTCCCATTCCTTCTTCTTGGGTCTTGGACCAGTCTCTCTGAGACTGCTTGAGAATGTCTGACTCAGCCTCAAGGGACAAGTATACCAGTCACGACTCATCAAAGAAACTTCTTTTGCAATAGATGGAGACTAATTATAGAGTTCCACAACTGGTCATACATAGAAATTAAGTGTCTGTGAGATGTCCAACCCTAAGTGACACATCTACAATGGAACTTCAATAACCTAAGGCTCACAGAACATAGTGGAACAACGGGTAGAGAGAATACTAATGCATCTCTCAACTCTCATCAGTGAATCTTCCTCATGCAACAGAGGGAGATGAACACAGAAGGCCACAACTGGTTAAAGAACAGAGAATAAAGCTGGGCGTTGTGGAGTCCCAGCACTTGGGAGGCAGAGGCAGGCGGATCTCTGTGAGTTCAAGGCCAGCCTGGTCTACATAGAGAGTTCCAGGACAGCTGGGGCTATAGGGAGACCCTGTCTCAAAAACAACTGGCCAAGTTAAAGAGAATAAGAGATTGTAGAATGTGTGCCACTGGATAGGACTCCTATATTAAACCCCACTCACCCAGGGCTCAGGGACCACTGCAGAAGAGGGGGCAGAAAGACTGTAAGAGCCAGGAGTGGTACATGATTGTAAGTAGAATCATCTCATTGTCACTTGATTGTTTTTCAAGACAAGGTCTCAATGGGAAACAGACTCAAATTCACGATCCCCTGCCTCTGCTTCCTGTGTGCTGGGATTACAGGTATGGGCCACCATTCCCAGCATTGCTTCTAATTTCTTCTCCTTTTTTCCCCTTCTTGTTATTTGTGATGCTTGGGATTGAATTTAGAGCCTTCTATGTGCTAAGGCAAGCACTCTACCATGGAGTTATATCCCTAGTCCTGCCTATCTTCTAATTCTTTTTGTTTGTTTGTTTATTTAATTTTTGAGATGGTGTTTTGTGTATCTGAGGCTAATGTGGAACATTCTACATAGCCGAAAATGACCTTGAACTTTCAAGTGCTGATATTATAGGCAACATATCACCTGAAATGCCTAATATGCACCACCACGCCCAGCTTTTTGGTCTTTTTGAGACAGGGTCTCCCTGTAGCCCTAGCTGTCCTAGAACTCACTATGTAGACCAGGCTGCCCTTGAACTCACAGAGATCCACCTGCCTCAGTGTGCACGCTGTCAGTACACTACTGTTGAGCTATATCCTCAGTCTACTTTTTATCTCACTAAATTGCCCAGGCTTACCTGGAACTCACTTTGTAGCCTTGAACTTGTGATCCTCCTGCTTTAGTCTCCCAACTAGTTGAAATTACAGCCTGTGCCACCAGGCTTGGCCTGCAAAGTGCTCTTACTAGAGGTATTAATTACAAAAGATTTCAAGTAATCAATGTACTTAAGTAATGCCCCCCAATCCTTTTCAATGAGTAAAAGAAAAACTTAGAAAAAACTTTATGAAAATAGTCACAACTGTGAACAAAGGAAAACATAAATAGCCATACAAACATTATAATTACATACTTCAAACCCATCATCATTACAAGCCAAATCATTCTTGGAGCAGGTTTTTGAGTTACTAAAATGTATAAAAGAAAAGCCTCTAATTTTTAGACATATGGGAAAAAATAATTCCACTGAGAAGGCTAAATTAAGTTTCTTGGGAAACAGAACATACTGAAGACTTCATTTTTTTTTTTTTATGGATATCTAGGTCTTGATTTTTGTCAAAAATTTTTGTGCTGACTTTTGAAACCCAAAAGATGATGTGATCTTTTGATGTATAGCTAGCTCAGAAGGAAAAGCTAATGAAAAGGGAAGATGACATTTGAGGGACTAACAGGACTTTAACCTGATCCTAAAGTGAAGTGCAAAAATTTCAGACAAATGAATTTAAAAATGCAAATATATTTTAGTTTAGAAGTAAATATAAAAAAACCCCCAAAATTATCATGATTAGAATTTGAGTAATGTTTGGGTAAAATTTTTGTTACGTTTGTAAACCTCAGAGATCATACTGTTCGTTTAATAATTTCTATACTTGTTTCTTTGTATGAGGAAAATGTAGCTTCAGCAACCACTAATTTATCATTACGAGAAGCCAGTGTTTTGAAATGTCACTAACAAAAGAAGATTGAGAGTCTTGCTATAAAGCATTCTTTAGAAAGATGGAAATGGCTTAGGCTAAAAGCATACTATTTATTATATCACAAATATGAAAACATTAAAATATTTATATAACATATTGGGTCAAAAATGAGCTTTTCCTAGAAAAAGTATACTTATTAAGAAAACACTAACAGATACTGCAAAGAAAGAAAAAGCTCTTAAGAAATGATGGCGGCTATTCCAATAGCTGAAGTGCTGCTGCTTGCTCTTAACAGCATTTCTGAAATGAAGGAGGATGAGTAGTTTAGAGACAGACACATTCTTTTGTTTTTATTGAGATGGGTCTTACTATGTTGACCATACTGGTCTTGAACTCATGGGATCAAATTTTCGGTCTTCTGAGCAGCTGGGACTATAGGAATGTGCCCACAAGCTGACAGACACGTTTCTACTCTAAAAGTACCTGCTATGCAAAAGCCACAAATGTGCAGAAGCCCTAAATAGGAGAAATGGTTCATCTTTGTCAGTGGTCATACCTCTTAGCCTTGTACTAAAGCAAGGAACACTACTTTATTTATTCAAAACTTTTTTTTGGTGGTATTAAATCTAGGCTTTCATGTATGCAAGGTAAGTGCTCTACCACTGAGCTATACCCCCAGCCCAAACACCACTTTAGTTAAGGCAGATTTCCTGCTTGTTCTATCACTTGACCTTGAGTATAAAGATAAGTTGGCAATAGGCTATTTGATACCTTTCATCATTCTTAACTAGGTATTTTACAACTAATAATAAAAATTATAACATCAGAAGGAATTTTACTGGTCTCATATGATGTAAAGACAAAAGGATAAACAGTAATGGAGATCCTGACATATTAAATATGTTTTTGTAAGAAGGTCTCATTATGCAGCTCCAGCTGTCATTGACCGTGTCATCCTCTTTTCTCAGTCTCCGGAGTTCTGAGTTCTGCAATTATAGGAGTACACCACTATGTCCAGGTAAGTACATTTCTTTCTTGGTTGTTACAGCTGTGGTCCATGGGTCTTCTGGTAGAAATGGCAGTCCTTAAGTAGATCTTGGTAAATGTGCTTGACTACATTCTTCAGGTAGTTGTTCTCTAAAGGCACTTTAGATATAATGGTAGCAATTTGATCATGGCTGGAAAGGACAAAAGGTAATTACTTTTCCTGGAAACTCATACATCTCCAGTTCAGTGCTATATTCATGTCAATGATACTGCCTCTCAGTTTCCTAGGAAGCACAAATGGACATTTCTGGAAATAAGCAGACTGTTTAGTTGAAACTAGATTCTAAAATAAGGCTTAATAATCAATTCTGTATATAACTGTGAGGTGTCTTGACTTAGTTGCTTTCTTTGTTTCTATAGTACTGGAAATTGAACACAGGGTCTTATACATACCAGGTTGGTACTCTACCACCGGACTACATCTTCAGATCCCCTAACTGCTTATTTTACTTGATGTTTATGTGTTTATGTGTAGGTGTACATGTGCATGTGTGAGTGTGTGTTTGTGGTCAGAGGTCAATGAGGGGTATCTTCCTTAGTTGCTCTCTATCTTCTTTTAAAAATTATTTTTATTTTATGTATATGAGTATTTTGCCTGCATGTGTGTAAGTACACCAGTGTTGTGCAATGTCCACAGAGGCCAGAAGAGGGCATTGGATCTTGTGAAGCTGGAATTACAGAGGGTTGTTAGCCACCATGTGGGTGTTGGGAACTGAACCTGGCTGGGTCCTCTGCAAGACAAGCCCGTGCTCTTAATCCTGAGCCATCTCTTTAGTTCCTCCATCTTATTTTTTGAGATAGTCATTCACTAAACATGAAGTTCACTGACTGGCTACACTGGCTGTCCAACAAACCCTCTGGATCCTCCTGTTTCTGCCTTCTGTTGTACTGGGGTTACAAATGTGTGTCTCTGCAAGTGACTTTTTTGCGGGTCCTAGGGATGGGAGTACAGGTCCTCATGTTTATGTGTCAGGCACAGTCTCCAAGGTACTTTCTTTAGCTACAAAACTCTTAAACTATTGGTGTTTGCTGATATATTTAAGGAGGACATTCCAAACTCCTACATCTTCCAGTGTTATCTAAAAAGTTACAAAGTATCCTCACAGGGCTGGAGGGATGGCTCAGCTGTTAAGAGCACTAGCTGCTCTCACAGAGGACCTGGGTTTGGTTCCCAGCACCCACACGGTGGCTAGCAACCATCTGTAACTCCAGTTCCAGGGGAATCCAATGCCCCCTTCTGACCTCCACGGGCATTGCACAACACGGGTGCACTTATATACTTCTAGGCAATACACTCATACACATAAAACAAAAAATAAAAATATAAAAAAAAACCCAAAATATCCTTAGTTTAACCTAATTATTAACAGATTAGATTACCACCATACATTTATCAAACCCAGGAAATCAACATTGGTATATTTCAGACTTTATTAAAGCTAAAATTATATTCTAGACTTTCATTTTATTTTTTAATTTATTATTTTTATTTTATGTGTATGAGTGTACTGCCTGCAATGTGTGTAAGTGCACCCTTGTCATGCATGCAGTGCTTGTGGAGGTTAGAAGAAGGTGTTGGATCCCCTGGAACTGGAGTTATGGACAGTTGTTAGCCACCATGTGGGTGCTGAAATCAAATCTGGTCCTCTTAACCACTGAGCCATCTCTCCAGCCCATTTTTTGTTTTTTTTGAGAAAGGTTCTGCCTGTATCCCCAGCTGGCCTGGAACTCACTATGTAGACTAGGCTGGCCTTGATCTCCAAGAGTCACCTATTTCTGCCTCCCAAGTGCTGAGATTAAAAGTTAAGTGCCACTACACTTGGCCCTATTCTGTTTCTTTAAAAAGATTTTATTTTTATTTTTAGTTATATGTATCTGTATGTATGTACATGTGAGTGGAGGTGCCCTCAGACACCAGGTGTTGGACTCTCCCATGAGTTTGAATTACAGGGTAATTACATCGTAAGCCACACGATGTGGTGCTGGGACTTGAATTCAGGTCCTCTGGAAGAACAAGAGTCCATAACTGCTGAGTCATCTTTCCAGCACAATTATTGGTTTTTTTTTTTTGGTCTTTTTGAGATAGGGTCTCCCTATAGCCCCAGCTGTCCTGGAACTCACTATGTAGACCAGGCTGGCCTCCATCTCATAGAAATTCATCTGCCTCTCCCTCCCCAGTGATGGGATTAAAAGTGTGTGCCACTGTACCTGATTAAACTTTTTTTTGAGACAGGGTCTCACTATGTGGCCCCAGTGGACCTGGAACTTCCTGTTCAGACTAAGCTGAGGTTTGCCTGCTTCTGCTTTGAGAGTGCTGGGATTAAAGGCATAGACCATCATGCCAGGGGACCCTGAATGTCTGATCTTCCTGTTTCTAACTTCCCAGTTTGGGGATAACAGGTAAGCAACACCATGTCTAGTTTATGCAGTACTGGAGTGGAACCCAGGTGTTACTGTCTATTAGGCAAACACTCTATTAAGCTACATTTTTAGCCCTTCCCTTCTTTTTCTTGAGACGGGATCTTCATGTAGTTCCGGTTGGCCTTGAATTTATTATGTAGCTAAGGATGATCTTGACTTGGGATTACAGTTGCATACCTCTATGCCCATTTTATATGGTGGTGAGGGATGTAATCCAGGGTTTCGTGCATACTACAAATTGAGACCCAGAATTTTTCCTTCTTGTTTCCTGTTTTAGGGAAAAGATGACTAGCCATCAAAGACTAGACTGGAATTCAGTATCCACTGGAACCAATAATAAAGTCAGAAAGGATTGACACTTAGCTCTCACTGTATTTGCTAACCACTTTCAGGACTCTTTCAAATGAAATAATAAGGGAATAAAGTAGCTGGGATTTTTTATCCAGCTGAATGTTTACTTACCCAATGTCCCCAAGGTGATTTTGAATGGTGAAAGGTAGCAGGACCAATGGATAATGGGCAGAGAGAGACAAAATTATTTCAAACTTTGCAAATGCTGCAAAACTGGAGAATAAAAGTCTCAACCTATAGAAGACAAGATCCACAATTAAAAATATAAAACAAACATACAGAGTAAAATACAAACACATTTTCCTTTTACATTTGCATATGAAACTTAGGGGGGTATTTCTTGTCTTTACCAAATGGGAAAGAAAGTAAATCTTTGGAGCAAGGTATTTTAAGTTATTATTTTCTTTTTGGAGTCAGGATCTCCCTGTAGCCCAAGCTGGCCTAAAACTCAATATATAGACCAGGCTGGCCTCACACTCACACAGATTCACCTGCCTCTGTTTCAAGAGTGCTGGGATTAAAGGTATGAACCACAATGCCTGGCAAGTTATTTTTTCATTGATAATAATGACTTTAAAATGAGTGTGTGTACCAGGTGTGGTGGCACATGCCTGTAATCCCAGTGCTCTGTGAGTTCGAGGCCAGCCTGGTATACATAGTGAGTTCCAGGACAGCTGGGGCTACAGGAAGACCCTATCTCAAAGACCAAAAAAAACAAAACAACAAAACAACCCCCCCCAAAAAAAAACTGTGTGTGTATGCGTGAGTGGGAGCAAGTGTGGATGTGCATAGCATATGTGAGGAGGTGAACACCTTGGATGCTAGTCCTCAGACACCTTCTACATTTTCTTTGTGACAAGGTCTCTCATTGGACTTGAACTTCACTAAGAGGTCAGGCTAGCTGGCCCTCAAGCTTCCAAAGAGCCACTTGTTTCTGCCTCCTATCTTGCCCTGACTGGGATTATGAATGTATGCTCTCACACTGGGCTTTTGACGCTTAGGTTCTGGGAATCTGAACTCAGGTCTTCACACCTGTAAGATGAGTGCTTTATTGACTGAACCATCTCTTCCTAGTTCTGCTTTGTCATTCATTCATTCATTCATCCATCCATTCATTCATTCATTCATTCATTCGTTTGTTTGTTCGTTTTTTGAGACAGGGTCTCCCAGTAGCCCCATCTGGCCTGGAACTCACTATGTAGACCAGACCAGGTTGGCCTTGAACTCACAGAGATCCACCTGCCTCTGCCTCCCGAGTGCTGGGATTAAAGGCATGTGCCACCACACCTGGCTATTTATGATTTTTATGTGTATGTGTGTATTGCCTGCATGTAGGTAAGTGCACCTATGTCGTGCAATGCCCATGGAGGACAGAAGAGGCTGTTGGATCCCCTGGAACTGGAGTTATGGACAGTTGTTAGCTGCCGTGTAGGTACTGGGATTCGAACCCAGGTCTTCTGCAAGAACAACCAGTGTTCTTAACCACTGAACCATTTCTCCAGCCCCCCCTGCTTTGTTGTTTTGAGACAGGATCTCATGCTGGCCTTGAACTCTCCAGGTGGTGATGCTTGGTGCACTCAGGAGGTTAAGGCAGGAAGGTGACTATACATCTGAGGCCAGCTTGAACTACTCTGGGAGTTCTAGGTGAAAGAAAAAGAAAGGGAAGGAAGGAAGGGAGGGGAGGGAGGGTGCCAGGGGTGGCTGGAGAGATGGCTAAGTGATTAGGAGCACTTCCTCTTCTTCCAGAGGAACCGATTCAGTTCCCAATACCCATGTAGGGCTCATGTTCACAAATGCATGTAATTTTAGCTCCAGGAGATTCAATGCCCTCTCTGGCTTCCTAGGGTACCTGTATACACATGGCATACACTCACACAAACATACTCACACATAAATTGAAAAAATAAATTGTTAGCTGCCATGTGGGTGCTGGGATTCGAACTTGGGTCTTCTACAAGAACAACCAGTGCTCTTAACTGCTGAGCCATCCTTCCAACTCCCTTTAATAAATTCTTGACTATTTATTTACTATTATAAGTTGAAATATATTCTATAATAATACCTCAGAATGTAACCTTATTTAGAAACCGGGTCATTGCAAATTTAATTAGTTAAGATGAGGTTCTACTGTGGTAGGGTGGGCTTTTGTCTGGTATGACTGATGTCTTTATTAAAAGAAGTTTGGACATAGACATACATAATGAAAAAATACTGTGAAGATCAAGAAAGATATAAGGCCCCATTTATGCCCCAAACTGCTAGTAAACCATCAAAAGTTAAGGCAGGAATAGAGTTTTAACAACTCAGACCACCATGGCTACTAGTGCTGATCCCAGACTTCTAGCCAGAACTAAAAGACAATACGTTTCTGCTATTAAGCCATCCAATTTATAGTATTTTATTATAGCAGCCCCAGGGAACTGAATATACTTACTCTGTATTATTCACATCTATGTCCATTAGATTATAATTTGGTCCCCATCTCTTTAAAAATTCAATCTCCTCTCCAAGCAATTTGCAATGGTTCACTACCAGTGAGAGTTCTTGGAGCATCTAGAAACAAAACAAAACAAAAAAACAAAACAAAACAAAACAAAAAACCCAAACCCGATTTCATATATATTTGAAAATGTCACAATGAAACCCATTATTTTGGGGTTTACAGCTGTAGTTCAGTAGGTAGAGTGCTGCTCTAGCATGGACAAAGCCCTGTTTAGCACTGCATAAACAGGACACAGTAGTGCATATCTGCAATCCTATTACGCTTCAAGTGACAGAGACAAGCAGATCACAAGCTCATGGTCATTTTTGACTACACAATAGCCTCGGCTACTGAGACCCTGTCTCAAAAGCAAGGAAACAAACAAACAAACAAACAAACATTATTTTGAATGTGAACTAAACAATAAAGAAAAAATTTCGGGGCTGGAGAAATGACTCAGTGGTTAAGAACACTGATTGTTCTTGCAGAAGACCTGGGTTCAAATCCCAGCACCCACATGGCAGCTAACAACTGTCTATAACTCCAGTCCCAGTGGATCCAACAGCCTCTTCTGACCTTTGGGGGCACTGCATGACACAGGTGCTCTTACCTACACGCAGGCAATACACACATACACATAAAATTTTTAAAAATTAAAAAAAAAAAAAGAAAAAAGAAAAAATTTCATTGTTTAATGGATGCTATAATTCCCCAAATATTGAACAATTGAATGTATTTATAATTTCAGGAAACTATTACATATATAGATTCAGTTCTGAGTTTTGGTATAGATAGTGCAAATTTTTCTTTAAACGCTTCGTCAGACTTTACCTGGGGTACCTGATGCTGTGTTTTACATTTCTTCTTCCAGGATTCCTGTTCCTCAATATACTGAAAAATAAGCTTATGAACTAAACGGGAAGAAGGAGGTGCTTTATCCTCTGGAGGAAAAAAAAAAAAGATCAAAAGTAAGGTATTATTCATTCATGTACTTTATGTAAGGTATGAATATTGTATTACAAAAGCCAGAAATGCTTTCAATTACGAGATGTGTATTTTTTTGCATTTTGACTTTCAAACACAATTATAACATATATGTTATATAAGACATTTTATAAAACTTTCAGCCTAAACATACACAATAGCGTTTGGTTAAAACCAAGAGTTTAAGTTCAAATTCAGGATTTCTTTACTACCTAACTAATTGTAAGCACAACACTTACTTTTTCTGAGCTATAGTTTCCTAACTTGTAAAATGGGAAAGAATATTGACCATAGCATTGATAGAAATAATATGCATGACTGTTATAGACTGACCACTCATAATGGTAATTTCAAACTATGGAAATAATTGTTAACTGCTCAAGATGTAGTAGTAATAAAATAATTTCTGCTAAAATCTATCCAATATTTAGAGTATTATCTAAGCAGTTTTATGTCTATAATACATTTCAAGGACAAATTATGCCAATAAATTACCAACAAATTTTTAGAGGCTTAAATGTTTTGAACTTACCATCTAACAGAGACTGAAAATTGAGCTCATCAATCTTCTTGTAAGCCTTATCCAAGAAAGGAAGACCAACTAAGGAGAAACAGAAAAGAATTGGTTTTTCTTGCTTGCTCACTTTTTCAGCTACATAGTTTGAGGCCAGCATGGGCTACATGAGAACCTGTGTTAGGATAGCCCTGAACTTCTGATTCTACTACCTTCATCTCCCAAATACTTTCATGAATGCTAGGTAAGCATTCTAGCAACTGGACTATACCCCCAGTCGTAAATATTTCTTTTTGCTACTTTAGAATCTACTCTTTTGGACAGCAAGGTGTTTTCATAGGCAGCTGATAGCTTACCCTTGACTCATTATTATTCTCAGTATATGGTAGAGTCTTCTCTGATATTGCTCAATGAAAGAAATTACAGAATTTAGCTATACTTGTTAAGGGATCTTCCTTTGACTCTAACGATTGTGTAAAGATAATTTTCAAAAGAAAACTTATTTACTTCTTTATGGTTTTTTTTTTTGTTTTTTTTTTTTAATGTACTCCTTATATGTATATATGTGTACTACGTGAGTGCTTGGTGCCTGTAGAGGCCAGAAGAGGGAGTTGGATCCCCTGGAACTGGACTTACAGATGGTTGTGTGCAGCCATGTGGGTGCTGGGACTAAACTTGGGTCCTCTGCAAGAGCATGCTTTTAACCACTGAGCCAGTCCCCCCAAAGTAATTTTGCTTTCGAGGACCAAATAAAATCATATAAAGGGAATGACTTCTTCATATCTACTCTGAGCAAATATAGTAAAAATAATTAATGCTTATAGCACTGCTATAATGAATTTTAGATAGTGATTACTCCAGAATGTGGTCAGGGTAGCTGCTAATTCCTCTATATTCTAGTTATCCCTTATTTCTCAAATTTTGAGTATTTTTCTTTATGTTGAATATTTTAGTAATATTTTCTATGTGTTAGGTACTATAGATGGCATGAGAAACAGACATGATCATCTCTATATAGTGTCTGTCTAGTGTCCAGTGAGTTCTACCTACTTTGAGCTATATGCAGAGAGCTACCTTTTAAGGAAATTACTCCCCTGCCCCCATCTCCCTAATGCTAAGGATAGAACTCAGGGCCTTGAATATCCAAGGCAAGTGCTTTATCACCAAGATATATTTCCAGACCTCATGCTTATTTTTCCAGTTTTTTTTTTTTGTTTGTTTTTTTTTGTGTGTGTGTCTTTTTGAGACAGTTTCCCTGTATCCCCAGCTGGCCTGGAACTTGCTATGTAGACCGGGCTGGCCTCAAACTCACAAAGATCCACCTGTGTCTGCCTCCCAAGTGCTGGAATTAAAGGCATGGGCCACCATGCCCAGCATTTTTTAGTTTTTTGAGACAGGGTCTCCCTGTAGTCCCAGCTGGCTTAGAGCTCAACTATAGACCAGACTAGTCATGCTCTTAGAGATTCCCTTGCCTCTGCATCTTGAGTGCTGGGATTAAAGAAGTGAACCTCCATTCCCAGTGGGTGGCCTCACTTTAACATATGGGTGCTGGGAACCTGACCCAGATCCTTTGCAAGAGCAGTCAGTGTTCTTAACTGCTGAGTCACCTCTCCAGCCCAGAGTAACCTCAATTTTAAGAACAAAAATAAAGCTAGTCAGGAACTAACAGCTATTAAGAGTAAATTCTCTATCATAAAAAACAAGTAGGAACAAAGGCCATTGTTTGGAGAGAATTTTATCATGTACTATAGCTCAATACCAACTACATTTTTATTCTTTTTTAAAAAATATTTAATCCCAGCACTCAAGAGGTAGAGAGGCAGGGGGATCTCTGTAAGAGCATGACTTGGCCTCCACTGCATGCATGTAGTGCACTTATATACATGCAGACAAAACACTCATATACATAAAGTAAAAATAAATAAATAAAATTTTAAAGGAAAATTTTGCTGGGTCTGGTGGTGCACACCTTTAATCTCAATACTTGGGAATTAGAGGCAGGTGGATATGGATATCTGTGAGATTGGGGCCAGCCTGGTCCACATTTTCAGTTCCAGGCTAGCTGGGGCTACTGTCTCAAAAAGACAAAAAAAAAAAAAAAAAAAAGATAAATTAAATTTTATATATGGTTTTTACCACAAACAAAAATGTATGAGTACTTGGCAAGGCAGAGTAGTTAAAATGTTAAATTATGTTACAGCTGGGCATAATGGCACATGTCTGTAATCTCAGGTACCAGGAAGGTAGAGTCAAGAAAAAGATTATAATTAGGCTGGGTGTGCTGGTGCATGATGGAGTAGGCCTTTAATTCCAGTACCTTCGAGGCAGAGGCAGACAGAATTCTTAACCTCTGAGCCATCTCTCTAGACCCTACATTTTTATTTTTATTGCTTGTATTTTTTGAGACAGGGTCTCGCCATGTAGCACTGGTTGGCCCTGAACAGGTGACCCTGCCTCAGCCATGCCACCATGCTCAGCTCTTATTTGATTCTTTGTCCAATGACAGAAAATTCTTTTTGTGTTGGGGTAGTGGTAGAGCATAAGCTTAGCATGCAGGAAGCACAGGGTTCAATCTCCAGCAAACCTCTCCCCCAGCCTACTATTGCTAAAGTAACTGACCCTTCTAAGATTCTCGGCAGTATTTTCATTATGCCAATAGTTATTCTTGTAGTAAAAATGAGGATTTGGATCTTTAGTGAGTTTAACCATTCATTTCTCTGTAGAGAATTATATGGTTTTGCTACTCACCTACTGGCTCTCCAAAGGTGATGATAAGTTCTATTGTGTCATAAACAAAGGTAAATATAGCTTGATCATCACTCCACTCAATGACATCCCACTCAGACAAACTATAGAGAAGAATAAACAAAAAAAACAAACCAATCAACCTTTCCTTCCCTTTCTTTACTTCCCTCCCTCTTTTTTTCCTCAGTGCTGGGGATTAAATCAGGGGACTTGCTGAATCCACAATAGCACCTACTGTTTACGCCCCCAAAGGATTGGGAGATGATCAATATTTCAATTCAAAGAATGTGAATGGCCAGGTGGTGTGGTGGTGCACATTTGTAATTCTAGTACTCCAGAGACTAAGGCAGGCATATCATCTTGAGTTTTAAGGCCAGCCTGTGTTGATCATGAACAGCAATCTCTTGCCTCTGGCCTCCCAAGTGCGGGGATTACAGGTGTGAACCATCATACTTGATTCAATTGTATGCTTTTGAAAGAAATCAGAACATAATCTTGAGTCATATACAGGAAAAAGTTTATGCAATAAAAAGTATTAAAGGTATTTTAATATCAACCCACCTTAATTTTGAAGTGTACTGACTTTTAAAAATTACTTTTATTTATTATGATTTTGTGTCTGTGTGTGTGTGTATGTCCATCCACACACAAACATACATGCCAAAGTGCTTATGTAGATGTCAAAGGAGAACTTTCGGGAGTCAGTTCTCTTTCCACTATGTGGGATCCAGAGGTTGAACTCAGATTGTCAGACTTGGCAACAGCACCTTTATCTACTGAGCAATCCTGTGACCCTATAACTGACTTTTTTTGAGGTGGCACTGTATTATAAACTAAAAACCCACAGCAACTGCTGGGTATTGTGGTATACACCTATAGTTCTACTTTCTTGAGAAGCTTAGGCAAGAAAATTGCTTGGTTCCAGAAATTCTAGGCCAGCCTGGGTAATAAAGGGAGACCTATTTCAAAATAATATAAAAATCCAAAGTCCTCCCAAAACCCATTATAACATATAAGGCACAGAATAAAATAGAAATGCTAAGACCTGTTTTTCCTTACCTCAATCGGTCCAGTAATTCTTTAGTTACATTTGTTTGTTTTTGTATAAATTTTATCTGAGCAAGGGTCTGTTCTTTTTGTAATTCCACTTCTAATAGCTTTCTGCAAATAAAATCAAGGAGTCACAGAAAAACAAAGTATTTGTTAGTGAGTTCAGACTATTAAAATGTTTTGGGGCTGGTGGAAATGGCTCAGTCAATACAGTGCTTCCCCCAAAAGCATAAGGACCTGAATTTGGATCGCTGACACCCACATAAAAGCCAAAGATTGTCCTACATGTCTGTAACACTATTGCTGGGAGGGCAGAGAAAGGCAGATCCCCGGAGTTTGCTCGCCAGCTCTGGGCTCAGTGACAGGTAGAGTCTGGGCATTGGTTGCCACGTGCCTTTACTCCCCAGCATTCCTGAGGCAGAAGTAGGCAGATCTCTGTGAGTTGGTCCAGGTCAGCCAAGGTTACATGGCAAGACCTGTCGTTTCAGACTTGGCCTGTCGTTTCAGACTTGGAACTCGCTGAGCAGACCAGGCACCATCATGCCTGGTATGAGACCCTACCTTAAAAAAAAAAAAAGTAGGGTATGGTGGGGGATAGGGTGATTATAAGGCGGGGACTAGAGAAATGGATCAGAGGTTAAGAACACTTCCTGCTCTTGCAGTAAATCCAAGTTTGGTTCCAATCACCCACATGGTGGCTACCAACTTCTGTAACTCCAGTTCCAGGGGATCTGATGTCCTCTTCTGGTCTCTGTTGGCATTGCGTGTGGTGCACGTACATTCAGGCAAGGCAGTTATACAAATAAAATAAAAAAGATAAGGTGGAAGCTGGGCATGGAGGTGCATGCCTTTGATCCCAGCACTTGGAAGGCAGAGGCAGGTGGACCTCTGTGAGTTTAAGGCCAGCCTGGTCTACATAGTGAGTTCCAGGCCACCTGGGGCTACAGAGACCCTGTCTCAAAAAGATAAGGTGGAGAGAGATAGTAGAAAACACATGATATTAATCTCTGGCCTCCACACACCCACATCCACAAATGCATACATAAACATGACACACATATACACTATACACAAAATGTCTTCTGATAAAGGGTAATATGCTAGATAGCTTCCATGAGGTAAATATATATATTTTTTTGAGACAGGGTTTCATTATGTATCCCTGGTTGGTTTCAAATTCAGAGATTACATACCTGCCTCTGATTAAAGGTGTGCACTACCATGCCTAGCCCATGAGGTAAGTTATTTTTTTAAATTTCATTTATTATTTTTATTTTGTGTGTATGAGTGTTATGCCTGCATGTGGGTAAGTGCACCTGTGTTGTACAATGCACACGGAGGACAGAAGAGGCTATCAGATTCCCTGGAACTGTAATTATGGACAGTTGTTAGCTGCCATGTGGGTGCTGGGATTCGAACCTGGGTCTTCTGCAAGAAAAGTCAAGTGTTTTTTTTTTTTTTTTCCGGTCTTTTTGAGCCAGGGTCTCCCTGTAGCCCCAGCTGGCCTTGAACTCACAGAGATCCACCTGCCTCTGCCTCCCCAGTGCTGGGATTAAGGGCGTGCACCACCACACCCGGCTAGAACATTCAGTGTTCTTAACCACTGAGCCATCTCTCCAGCCCATGAGGTAACTTTTTAAAAAGATTTATTTATTTATTATTTATGTGTATGTGTGAGCTGTATGAGTTTATGTGCACCAATTCTGTGCAGGTAATTTCTCCTGATAAATACAAATGTAGAAGTAGGTCTATTGGGGCTGGAGAGATGGCTCAGCAGTTAAGAACACTGACTGTTCTTGCAGAAGACCTGTGTTCGAATCCCAGCACCTGCATGGCAGCTACTGGCCATAACTCAAGTTCCAGCGGATCCGATGGCCTCTTCTGTCTTCCTTGGGCATTGCATGACACGGACTCATACACATAAAAATATAAAGAAAATATTTAAAAAAATAAAAATAAAAAAAATAAAATATTAAAAAAAAAGAATTAGGTCTATTTAGGAAAGATACAAATCATTGTTTCTCAAATTTGGATTCAAGAAGACATTCTTGGGGTTCCATGCTTATAAAAAAGCATTAAAATCAAAATTATTTTTATGATAAATATAAATACTTCATGTAGATCATAAGAATGTTAACTTTAAAACACACATCATGTGGGGAGTGGTGGTGCACACCATTAATCCCAGAGCTAGGGAGGTAAAGGCAGGAGGACCTCTGTGAGTTCAAGGCCAGCCTAATCTACATAGTGAGTTCCAGGCCAGATGGGGCTACAGGGAGACCCTGCCTCAAAAACACCAAAAGATATAAATAAATTTATTAAACACACATCATAATTTTTGATTTTTTTTTTTTTTTTTTGAGACAGGGTCTTCCAATAGCCCTAGCTGCCCTGGAACTTGCTAGGCAGACCAGGCGGGCCTGAATCTCACAGAGATCAGCCTGCCTGTCTCCACAGTGCTGAGATTAAAGGCATGCAACCACTGTGTATGTATCTGATTTTGTTAAAGCTAAGGAGAACATATTCTAACAATTTTGCAAGCACCATTTTCTATTAAAAAAAATTTTTTATTTTTATTTTTGGTGTGTTTGAGATAGGGTCTCCCTGTAGCCCTAGCTGTCCTGGAACTCACTATGTAGAACAGGCTGGCCTTGAACTTACAAAGATCTGCTGCCTTTGCCTCCCAAGTGCTGGGATTAAAGGCGTGTGCCACCACACCAGGCAAAAATATTATTTTTCAATAGTTTATTTTTTTTTAATTTTATTTATTATTTTTATTTTATGTGTATACATGTATTGCCTGCATGTAGGTAAGTGCACCTGTGTCATGCAATGCCCATGGAGGTCAGAAGAGGCTGTGAGATCTCCTGGAACTGGAGTTACGGACAGTTGTTAGCTGCCATGTGGGTGCTGGGATTCAAACCCAGGTCT